CTTTTCTTTTTGGGCTGCTTTGTCTATGTTCAATGATTTGTCATATTTTATTCTATATTCGTAACTGATGGCTGAAGTTCAAGGTGAAGAGGATGAGATATATACATCAAAGACACAATACCGATGCATTTGTCTAGGTCATTTACAAGCATTTTTATGACACAAAAAAACCCGCAAAAGAAAGAAAGAAAGAACAAAGTGATGATAAGGAAAAGAACAAATACATATATTTGAATAATGTGGTATACTTTCGATTTCTTTCTCTCTCTTTCTTCTTCTTCTCCATCCACACCCTTAACATCCCTAACCACTATTACTACCACGTAACCTATATAATAAATGTACTACTATTGCACCAGGCTGTTGATGATGAAGCAGCCGATGAGGGAGAAAGATAGCCAGACAATAGACAAAGAGAACGAAAGAGAAAATAAAGCCAGCCGGACAATTCTCATTTGAATACAATAGCTTATAGAATGAGGCAAGAGTGTGAATAAAAGAGAGAGAGAGAGAGAGGGGGATAGAAGAAAGAAAGTATAATTCACTACCTCAAACATACATTCATTTATGATGCATTCTTCAAAAATGAGTCTTTTCAACGTGCAAATATTACCTTTCAACACTGAGGTAAGTTAACTAAATGAATGAGAACTTTTTAATGTCGTCATCAAGGCTATTTGTTCATCCATTCTTTTTTTTCTTTCTTTTTAGAGGGTCCATTAACCTTATTGTGTATTCTTATCGTAACTACTGTCTAGATGTCTTATTTCGATAAACACCCTAACTAACGAGTCTTTTCATCTCGAAAAAAAACAAAGAGAAGGATAATGATGAATAGACCACATCCATAATGAATACTATTGCATTGAATTGAACACATACATACATAAAAGAGAAGAGAAAAGACGATCATAATTTAACCGAAATAATCTTAATAGTGTACTTCATCCGTCATTTTTCTTTTCCTTCTATATGTTATGCTTGAAGTAGTACCTACTATATAACTTTTTATGAATTTTCACACATAATATTGCATCATATATTGTTCAATCGCTTTACATGTGCAAATGTATTAGAGGGACAAGCAAAAAAAAAAGGAGTCATAGTACTTGTCTTTTACTCGTTTTATAAGTATTCGATTTTTATTTTAGATATAAGTTTTTTTTGAGTTGCAATTATATTAAAAAATGTTTCATCGAATGTATCTACGTCGATGTTCAATGTCAAGTATAAGTGAAGAATCAGAAACAGGTGATGATGATCATATGGATGAAGAATTTATTATTTGTAATGATAATAATAATAATAATAATAATAATGATAAACAAGAAACTCGTTCATCAACAAGTATATCTGTTGAAAATTGTCTTGGTGATTTAAATAGTTTTAAAGAAGTAAGATACTTTTTATTTTGTATTTATATAACATTTTTCCTATTGACCGATAGTCAAATTGGCTCTTCATTCAAGCATAAGCACATTTGTTTTATGATCTCACCCAGCTTGCACTTTCATTGATTAGTATATGTCCTTTAAAAGAAAGACATAATTATTCTCTGTCGAAATGACTAGGTATCTTTTATGCATATGTATATAGCGGCGTCATATTGTCACATTTGGATTTGATTATACCGGATGTGTGTTAATAGGGCATATGTACATGTAACAGATTTATGAGTCCATTTTTCATTTGGCATCACTAACCTTACAGCTGGTGTTTCTTTTTTTCCTCTATCGGCTTATCAACATAATGATCTACAATAGTTTGTTGTGATTGTTCTTTTCTGAACATAATGTAACCTTAGGGATAAATCTGTAAACGGAAATTATGTTGTATTCACATCTGTATCTATACTTTAAGCAAGATGAACGTTTATTATTATATGTATAAATTAATTCGTTTAGGAAATTCGAGAAGCATACGAAGAATTATCTACATTAGAACGACAAGCTCGAAATAAGACTTCAACATCACCAACAATTATAAATATTGAACAAGGTAAAAAAAGAAAAATTAAATGTTTACTACTAATAAGAAAGCAAAACTAAATATTGATTGATTGTTGCACAATAATTTATTGAGGACAAAAAGAGAGAAGAAAAAAAGACGAAGTGCATTGGTACTATACAAGCATAGATAATAGAAAACATTTCTATATAGAATAGATTAATGAAGAGTAGAAATATAAAAGGACATTTATTATTGTCGAACTAGATCTAAGACATCTATATAATGTCGAATGGTCAAGGTCAATTTTCAGAAAGGAAATCTATGAATAATCCAGCTTCTTGATGTTCAGTTATCCAGAATGTCTTCAGTTTTGTAGTCTAAATATGAATTAAAAAGAACAAAGACTTGAGATTGATCATTAATAGTAAACGTTGTACGGACATAATAAGTGCATGCAAACAAATATAGGTCACTATTTGATTGATCGGAAAGGCAAGTATTTGAACACGAACAAAAGAGTTTTATTCTTAGGCATCACTTAGAAATGTCGATGAAAAAAAAAGAAGAAGCAGAAGAGAAAGGTACTCAGACAGATTGAATTGAAGTATATTGAGAAATAAAAAGAAATCAATCAATAATTGACGAGACGATATCGAAATTAAAAAAAAAATCAATTTAGATTTCAATTTGTTTGTTTTGACTTTTTTCGTTTTAGAAGATGATCTTGACATATTACTTGAACAACTTTATACACTTGAACAACAATTAGATCAAACAAAAATGTTTCCTAATCAATCTATTCATCGTAATAAAAAACCACTTCCACCAACTATTGTTGCACAATTTGATGAACTCGATCAAGCATTAGCTACATTAGCCAGTACATTGAATAATGTCGAAATTGAATTAGGTGATTCAGGAAATAGTTCATCATCATCAGCAGCTAGTGATTCAACAACAATTCTTCATCATCATAATCAACAACAAGATGAAAATGATGATAAACAACATGAAATCGAAGGTGATGAACATTTTTCTGATAGTGGATTATCACAATCGACTGATTCAATAAGTTTACCAGTTAAACAAATTTCACAATTAAGAACAAATAGTCAAATATCAAATGCTTCTAGTGTATGTAGAATAGAAGTTCTCTAATTAAATCTTTTTATTTTTATTTTTTGTAAAGGTTGTTTCATGTGATACATTGAAAAATTTTTCTGGTGAAAATAAAATTCGTCTAGCATTAGAAAAAATGCATGAAGCAAATATTAAAAAAATGTTTATTAAAATCTATCATGAAGATAAATCAACAAAAAATATTCTTATTGATGAAACAATGTCAATATTTAATATAATTATATTACTTTTACGTAAAAATCATTTAAATCCAGCATATAATTATTCAATTATTGAAGATTTACCTGATTTATATATTTATCGTATATTCGAAGATCATCAAAATTTAATTAATGATGCTATTATTTATTGGTCACGCGATACAAATAATCGAATATGTTTTCAACAACATGATATTAAATATTCAATATTTAATGATGCAAAAAATTTTTTTTCTATACAAGATAAACTTTCAGATGATATATTAAATAATTATATATCATCAAATACAATATATCTACCTGATAATATAACAAGTATTCTTTATATGAAAGATAAAAATCGAAAAATTTGGAAAAAATATTCATGTATTCTACGTCAATCAGGTATATATCGAATGCCAAAATCATCATCATCAAAACGTAATCTTATTTGTTTATTAAAATTTGATTCAAATATGCAATTATATCATGCAAAAAATTGGATTGAATCATTACGTTCACCAACAGAATATGGTTTTGCACTTAAATATGGTCATATACAAAAAAAATCTAATAAATATATACATTATTTATGTACAGATACATATGATGAATGTCAACGATGGATAAATGGTATACGAATAATACAATATGGAATACAATTATATAAAAATTATCAACGAATGAAACAAATTATTGATAATGGATCAGAAAATCTTTCGAAAATTTTATCAAATCAACATTATTTTAATTTTATACAATCAAATACATCATCAATCATGACAGATTCAATTTCAATGATTTCATTACCGATCAATCATGTCAATTTAGATATAAAAAAATCTTTTAATAATTTTGAAAATCGGTCAGTGGAAAAAATTTTTAATTCATTAGGTAAAATAAAATCTTTCATTTTTTTTTGTTTATTTTTGTATTATAAAAATTAAAATTTTCTCTTTATTTTTTTTTATAGATCGTCTTAAAACATCAAAAAAACATTTTATACGTTCATCATCATTTCATGATAGTTTACGTCGTTCAAATAAAAATGAACAAAAAATTTTACGTACATTTTCAATATCACCACCAATAAAAACTAATGATTTAAGTCTTCAACGTTCAAAATCAACAAAAGAACTTCCATCAAAATCAGTACAAATACAACGTTCAAAAACAATAAATAAAAAAAATCATCATGAAACAATTAAAAGTTCATCAACAACATCAATTATTCCTTTTATTAATCAATGTATACAACCCGAAAAAACATCAAATCCTCCGACACCACCTTTACCACCACCTAAACGACCACCACCACCTATTCCGAAAAAAATTTCATTTACAACAGCAACCACAGTTGATAATCATGTATATGATTCTTTTCCAGATAGTCCATCATCAAATACAAATACTTTTCAACGAACATTTTCACATATAAAAAATTATGATGTTGAAAATTCAACAGTATCTAAATCACATTTACCACCTATGAGAGTAACAGAGCTATAAAAATTTTTAAAAAATAATCATAGTTCAATAACCATGTGTCAATGACCGGTGATCAATGCGTGTTCATTACTAGTATCAATCGGCAAAAACAAAAAGCAAGCAGCCTAACCATGTTCTTTTTTTCTTTATTTCCGCATATGTAAAATCTTAATAAGATATTTGTGGACTGTTTCTTTTTTCTTCTCTGTCTTTTTCTTTTGTTTCTTCATCACTATTTATTATTTAAGCATCAAGATGTCGATATAAACGTCGTAATTTTTCTTTTTTATTACGATTATGATGTTTTTTCCAAGGTTTTCCATCTGAATATTGATTCGTGGAATCATTCATAGTTTCACCAGCTAATCTTGGACCATTTTTTCGACTATGTGTACCTTTAGTACCAACACGAACCTCAGTCTAAAACAAAATAATGATAATAAAAAAATCAAACAAAATCTTAAAGAAATTTACTGGATGAAAAAATTGTTGATCGACATCCGATGGTTGAAAACGTGATTGCTGAAAATAATAATAAAAGAACAAATGTTTTGTTTTTCTTTTTTTGTTTTTTTTTTTTTTTTTTTGTAAATAAAATAAAATATACTTTTGATGTTGTTTCATTTGAGGGAATTTCTTCATTATTTGTATCATCATTATGAAAATCAAAATGATTAGAATATTGTTGAAATTGTTCAGAATTATAACCTAGTGGTGGATAACAATATAAGAGTTTTCCATTAACATAATCTTTTAGAATAAGACGAGCTGCACGACTTCCATCTGGTATACCTTTATGAGTCATAAAACCTCGTCGATCTAAAGAAAATAATTTGATGAAAATTTCCTATACTTATCTAAATTGTATATTATCACTCATTTAATTTATTTAAGATAATATATTATCTTGTCATTTCATTTCGATGTTCTAGTACTCATAGATCCAAATAAGAATAGAATGAAATATTATGTATTAACACCAGCTATTGTGTTATAATTTGAAGAAAAAAAAGATGAATTCCATCTGTTTCATATATGCATAATAATAGATACATCAGTATCTTGGTGAGTCTTTTTTATTTGTGGTTAGCTTTCTCAAGATGATTTATGTTATCATTTTTTATTCTAATGGAAAATTTATTGTACTATTTACATCTTAAATGAATTAAGATTGTTGATTAGAATAAGATGTGAAGTATACTAGATAGGTTTCGTCATTGAATAAAATCTATCAGATATAAACAGGATTTCATTAGTTTCTATTCGAAGTGAAATCAACTTGATGAAGTGTTAAGTTGTATAGTCAAATTTTATTATCGTAAAAAAAGGATAGATATTTTCGAATATGATTTTAAAAATAAAATTCTACTGTAGATTAGATTTTGATCTTAATATCTAAATCATATTCTTACATGCATAAGTACCACATAATTCTACAGATGTTGGTGGTCGATTTTCATCTTCGCCTTCTTTTGGTAATGGTAACATAATATTATAGATATGTGAAAGAACAAATCGTGGAATCTGATGACAAACGTATATAGATATAGATATATAAGAGTTAAGGATAAATTGATATCAAAAAATAAGCTAAATAAAAAAAAAACAAATATCAACAAACATTAAAAAAGGATATATGATTGACAGGACCAATATAATCTCGCATTTGATCAATAGATAAAATTCCATTGATAATTAATTCATCTTTCGTCGAAACAAATGATGGAAAAACAAGACCAGGACAATCACATAAAAGAAGATCTTTTTCAAGAAAAATAGTCTGAAAAAAAAATACATGAGTGCACAAGAAAATATTTCGATCTTCAAAGTTCAATCTAATTGAATCATATATTGAATGAAAAATTATGAGTTTCTAATTATTTTGATTCGAACACAGAGAAAATAAAAAAAAAAACAGTTGAAGAGTGACTCATGATCTTTCATTCAATATATGGTTCACATAGATTGAACATTGACAATCAAAAGTGTTCAAAAATATGTCCTCATGTGTTGCTTTCGAGAAATTACTTGAAAATGTTTAGTTTTGCCTGGTGTTGATGATACAGATACTTTTTTATATTGTAATAAAGAATTAATTGTTGAACTTTTACCAACATTTGGATATCCAACCTATTTATAAAAAAAACTTCTTCATAATAAAAATTAATTTTTATTTAATTACCATTCCAATAGTAAGAATATTTTCTCGGGTAGTCGTTTTATGAATATATAAACATTTAAGTAAATATATTAATTCTTCTCGATTAACAATAATTGATAAATTCTTTTTTTTTGTTTCTTTGGATTGTTCATAAACGAAAATATCTTCACGTATTTGTTCAACAAGATTTTCATGTTCAGTTTCTTCTTCAGATAAATCTTCTTCTTCATCATCATAATCATCATCATCATCATCATTCTTATTATCAATAGAAGTATTATCTTCTTCATTATTGATTTTGATTTCTGATTGTTGTTTATCATCATTATCATCGTCTAATTGAAGAGCATCAAAACGATTAAGTTGATTTGTTGAATTTGATATTTCAAAATTATCATCATTATAATTTGATTGATTTTGTTTAATATCTTCAAGAATTTTATCTGTATTATCTATAGATTCAGAATCATTTGTTTCTAATGGAAGTTGTTGTTTGTTTTTCGTTATTTTTAAAGAAGATGAAGCTGCTTGTAATGCTGAATAGAATATTACACGTATATCATGTTCATCAAAATATTTTGCCCATGCTTGTCTAAATAAATATGAATTTTGATTAAGAGAAAGTCTTCGTTTTTATTTCAGTTACCGTTGTTCATCTGTTAATAAATCAGCTTTATTAGCAAGAATAACATTGACCTTTTTATTATCGGGTGATAATTCACGAACATAATTTTCAAGATCTTCACAACGGAAAAGTAATGGATTTCGTGCATCAACTATTTGAACAATAACATCACTAGAAAAAAATATTTTATAGTAGATTCAATGTTGAAATATATATATGAAATTTAACCTTTTTTCTATAACTCTCCATAATTGTCGCCAAAATTCAAGATTTTTTTCAAATGGTGTCAATGTTAAATCATCAATTTCTTGTAGTCTAAAATATTTAAAGAAAATTTATTGAATGAGACAATAGTATTCATCATAATTGCAAGTTCAGTAAAACCAACTATTTAATTGCTTTTGAGTTTGGACTATGTACAGCATGTCGACTTTAATGAGCGGTAAATACCCTGAAAAAAGTTTGAATCCTTTGCTTACTAGTGCATTTTTAAACTCAATGCCGTATCCTTCTTCACCTCAGAAAAACTAATTTTCGGATTTCGGCTTGATATTTTGCATAGAAACAGGCAGTTTATTGTGAAAGTTTCGGATCTTTCCCTTGTTCTTATCTTAAGATGTGGCTATAAGCAAAGCGTATCTTTTACGTCACTCATAATGGATGGACCGAAAGTTTTGAGACTTATTTTTGACCACTTTGAAAGGCTATGGATGATGTCCAGAGTATCAAATTTTGTAAAGAAGTGTTCGCTCAACAAAACAATCAATTCGAAAATTTTTTGACAGACTTCGAAAAGTGTCAGCGAAAGCCTATCAGTTCATTGTTCAATATAATTCTGTGATCTTTTGAAAAAAAAATTCCTTCACTAGTCTTGAACAAAAGTAGACATAGTATTTCTAATCTCAAGCATAAAATTCCAATCATAATCCAACTTTTCACTTAAACTCATTTTTTTAAATCTTTCAAAAATTACCTCACTACTCTCGAACAAAAACTGAAATAAAATTTCTCAGCTTATATTTGAAAAGTATACAATATGCTAGTCATGACTTTTGACTCTCTCTTTTGTAAGTAGAAATTAATCATTAAAATAAAACTTACAAAGCTAATTTTCGTCTCCAATCAAGAAAACTAGCACGTTCTTGTTGATCAATCTGTTCTGCACTCATATCCGGTGTCCATGGAGGTCTATACAAAATCATTAAAAGAAAATCCGCATAGATTTTCAACAAAAAAAAAACCTTTTACCTTCGTGGAATACGTAATCGATCTTGATGTAAATCTTGTACTTGTCGAATACGTTCTTTATCATCATTGGATAAAATTCCAACTTTAGCTACAGCCGGTACAAATGTTACATTTAAACGTTCTTAAACAAAAAAAAACAAAATCAAACATATACACACTCATTAATAGTAGAATATTAACCTGCTGCAAAATCTGTGCCAGCTAATTGAGCTGTAGTTAAAAATTCATCTAATGAATTTTGATCGGTTACTGATCGTAGATTAAGTCGATTCCAATCTGTACTTGCAGTGAAATCAGCTTTTTGATGTACCTATTGAAATAGAAAATTTGATAGAATATATTTATTATTGATTTCTTTCTCTACCCATTCATCTCCAGATGTAGCACGATGTTGATTAGGAAAACGTTTTTTAATTAAAGAACGTCCAACGGCATGTTTAGTATTTGACATTCTTTGATGTTTCTTTTTTTTTTATTTATCTGAAAAAAAAAATATATATATATATATTCTCGTTTTTATAACAATTTATTATAAATAAAATTTAAAAATGAAATTGATTTTCAACAAGTGCACGTTGTAAATGTTCAATTTTATCTGTATTAGTAAAATTTCCTAATTTTTCTGCTATTGTTATTGGTAATACTTGTAATTGTTTTTTAAATTCATCCATTTCTTTAATACTTTTACCAAGCATAGTCATCATTTGTCCATAATTTAATGGTAAATCTTTATCTTTAAAAATATTTTCTTGTAATTCATTAAAATTAATTTCAGGTAAATTAATCATAAAACGATGAAGATTTGTTAATTTTCTTTCACGTTTTTCATATTCATAAATTATTCGACTTATTATTATACATAATGAACAAATAAAACATATTCCAATACATATAAAACCAATTATCATTGAATATGTATAAGATATCGATGGTATTAATAAACGATTTGTACTATTCATTTTCTATTCTTCCAACGCGCGAAAAAAACACATATATGAATTTATTTATTTATTTATTTATTTGAAACTTTTTTAATCGTAAGCAAAGATCGAGTTTAATATTTACATCTGATCTGACGAAGAAAAAAAATTTGGCTAATTAAACAGTAACAAGAACTAATTGATGATACATATATAAATTAAGATTTTTGTCTTTGCACATTATACAGAACCAAAAAAAAAGAAAGAACAAGCACGATCTAAATTGAATTTTGCATATATACAAAAAAAAAATTCTATTTTTATTATTTTTTTATATATGTATTTCGTCGCTGTATAAAATCTTCTTTGCAATTACCCGGTACAACAAATAAATCAGTATATGAAGGTAATGAATCATCAGTAGGTGTAACTAAAAACAAAAAGAATTAATCAGAAATTTAATTTAATAGTATTCTTTTGATATTAGCATAAATGTGTCAAAGGTTTATAAGAAATCAAATTGATCCCATTTTACTTTTATGCTTACGCGTACCTCTGAAAGCTGTAAGGATATTTTAATTCTCTTAGCCTCTCATCTATCTACACTGAGATCCTTCATAAGAGTAATAGATTTATATTTTCTATTATGTTGAAAATTTTCAAAATATAGTTAATTTTAAATATTAATATTACTTTGAAAACGACCGTTGTGTGTTGCCAAAGGTGTGTTCATTGCTGAGTCATATTGTGGTATTTGTCTATTTGTTTCTGTTGTTGAAACAATCATAGAAGGATATTGTGGAATAATTGGTGTATTTCTTTGTCCTATTGTTGATAAATTCGAACAAGCTGCTGCTTCAGATATTTCAGGTGAATAGAGTGTATCTTAAAATTTTATAAAAAATCATTAAAATATAAAATTTAAAAACGAAAATTTTTACTCGAAAGAATTAAATTATTGTTTAAAAATTTTGGTCGTTTAATACCAGGTAAAGAAGCTGAATCATTAGGTGCTGCATCAAGCATAACACGTAACATTGTATCTATTTCACGTCGAGTTTGTATATTATTAGCAGCAAAATTTGGTAAACCATTATTTGTATCATTATCATCACGAGGTAATTGATCAACGAAATTCTATCATATTCAGAGAACGACAAAAAAAAGTATAATATTATATATGTAGTTTTCTAGAGCAATTCGAAGTGTATCGAATAGTATATAAAAAAATCAAGCTTTTAATGTTCTGAAGGTTCATATTGAGAAATATATATGGTACTCATATCCTAAGATACATTTCAAATTCAATTCAATACAGTTATAAGTGTTCTTCAAATTTCTATAATCCATAGTTTTCATCATACTTACAAGTGGTCCCTTTTCTTAGGACTAGGCATTTTCTTACCTATTTGATTTCTAGTTTATTCAATTCTGTCCTTTTTCGACGCAGCAGGAGTTCATTGTCAATTTGCAAGACTATTCCCTACAATAGTCTATTTTCTCTCATGAAGACGCCGGTATACTGACGATATATTAACATTACTTGACCATCCTATTAAAAATTTTTATGTACCCAACAATGGACACAACATTTCTGATAAACTGATATAACTAACTCCTTCATAAACACGAAAAAAATTTTTTTGATTCAACCTCCTACAACCCTATACCCTCTCCTGGAATCTGAAAGTCAAAAAAAAAATTTTTCCCGTTCATGAAGGGGTGATTGATATCGGTTTTTCAAGGATATTGTATTCATAAAAAGTTTTAATAGCATCATCAAGTACGTGTTAAGATATCGTTAAGAAACCGACGCCTTCATGAGAGAAAATAGACTATTTTAGGGAAACAATCTTACAAGTTGACAATGAGTTTCTGTTGTTACGAAAGACTACAAAGTTGAATACACTAGAAATCAAAATAGGTAAGAAACTGTCTAGTCCTAAGGAAAAGGGATCATTTTTAAGTATGATGAAAACTATTGATTATAGAGATTCGAAGAGCACTTATAACTGTATCGCATTGAGTTTAAAGTTTATCTTAGAATGTGAGTACAATATATATTTCTCAACATGAACCTTCACAACATCAAAAATTTGATTTCTTATATACAATTTGATGCGCGACAAATTGCTCTACAAAATCACATATATGGTACTCAGCAAAATCGTTTAATGATGATTACTCGAAGTTTTTCCAGAATAGCTATTTGTACTTTAAGATTATATAAACCAATATCGCAATAAGATGATAAACCTTGTTTAAGTTCTTTCGTTGCTAATTTTTGATGTTTAGACCATTCAGTTTGTACTAAAAAAAAAACAAAAATGCAATTGACATTTTTTTTGTTGTTTTCAAACTTTTTGTTAATAATTGATTTTTTGTATGATCAGAACAATGATTTGTAATAGCTTCTTCAAATATAGATTTTGTTTTATCATAATCATTTGATAAATTATCATTTAATTTTCGTAATGATTGTTGAAGTGAATTCATAGCATATTCTATTGACATATATATATTATTCAAAACAGAAAACAATTTTTTTTTTACCATTAAATATTCGTGATGATAATTGATGTCGCATAGCTAAAGAATCAATTAAACCAGTAATTTCCTACAAAAAAAAGAATTAAAAAATTGTTTTTTTGGAATTAGAAATTTAAATACTTGTAATGGTTTACAATCAGATAATTGACCAATATCATTGATAAGTCGAGCAACTAAATAAATTTTATAGAAAAAATAAATAATAAAAGAAGATATGTATTCTTATACCATGAATTTCAGATGCAGGACTATCAAAATTTCGTTGTACAGATTTTTTTGTTCGACTTATTTGAGTTATTGCTGATTGTAATTTTCTACGATATTTAGCAGTGTTATTAAAGAGAATTTCATCATTCTCAGTAAGTCGTTGTGATTTTCGTCTAGAAAAAGAAATTTCATTTAAATGAAATGAAAATTAAATTCTTACGAAAATCGTTTGCGCCAAGTTGACATTATGACTAGATTTATCTTTTGTAAGTCGATCAATTAGATGATGAAGATCATCATCGAATACAAAGAAAGAGACTTGATAAGTTTCAAGATTGGTTAAATAATTTGACCAATCGAAATGTTAACGCTACAATCGCACATTGAACAAAAAAAAAGTATAAAAAAATGAAGTTTTAATTTTTATTTATTATTGTAAAATATTTTTTTGTAGTTTATTTTTCGTATTTATTTTAATTACTGATTGATTAGTCTGGTGACACTTGAGAGATAGTTGAACATTTTAAAAGAATTACAAAAGTGACCACTACTAGTTTACGATGAGGGACATTTGACCTTATAACCGTTGAACGATCTTTCTTTTCTCTTCAATGTTAGTAAGAGAAAATACAATGATACAATTCGAGGAGATTTTTTTTTTGCGGGAAATGAGAGACTCGCTGATCACTGATAATCGATTTACTTATATCGTTATGTAATAAGATTTAAAAGAAAAAGTATACGATATCGTATTTACATGTGAGTACACGTTATTGAATCCATCGTTTTTCGATCCGGAATGAATATTTTGTGCTTCTTTTTTCTAATCATTAGTTCACTCCATGGATTAAAGCTCTGCGGAGAGAAATTCTTTTTAAATTAACATAGATACTTCTTTTTTTTTGCTACTTGTTAATGCGAATATCTCTCGCTGTATTGTTTATGTGACGTTGACGAAATAAGTTCGTTCTAATGATCAACTTCTAAGATTTATTTGTCTTTCCAGATTTATGATATATGTCAGTATTCGTTACAATATCAAGTGGTGGACATGACAGTGAAGATAAGCGTTCATTGTTTTAGAATGCAATTCTTTTCAAGTTCAGTATGAATGTATTGATTTTGGTCAATAGAATTTTTGAAAATTTCTACAAATAATCATTGTCTTCAAGAAAAAAAAAACATTCTGGAATCATTGGTAGATAGAATTATTTTCATTCTTTAGTATCTATTTTAATTTTTTTAGATTCCTATGTATGGATCTCTTTGTATATCGTTTTTTCTATGTTTATTATTATTATTATTTGATAAAAATTATTGTCAATTTGAATGGATTACGTATGATAAAATAGATGAAATTATGGATAGAATAAATTCTGTTAATCGTGATAATTGTTTTCAGAAACAACCAAATGAACTTGTTTTACCTGAAGAAGCTGTTTATCAAAAACCATCTATTGAATTGCTTAGAAATGATATTATTATGAAAAATCGTACACAATTATTACATGTAAGAAATATTGCTCATCGAAATGCTCTTTTATATAGTTATTTATTTCAACGTTTATTCGATTTTGAAGAACCCGGTCTTACATATATACTTTTACATAATGCTGGTAAATATAAACATACATAAAATGAATAAATATTTTATTTTTATTCTATAGCTGATGTAACTGCTGGTGGTAGTATGATAAATGGTTCAGGAATTTTTTTTGATCAAGATAAATATTATCCACATTGGTATAAAAATTTTTTTAATAAAACAATTCCA